CCGCATGAACGTGTAATAACCGCTTAATGGTTGCACACTGTAGAACCCAACTGCCCCATATCGGGCGACCGAAACCGCCCAACACGTCCCACTGGTTTTTGGGAAAAGATTGGCCAAATCATTGTAGCATCCGACTTGCTATTTTTAAATTTCATCAAACCATCAACCTACTTAATTCGAACAAAACCCACTGGGCCACTGATCTGCTTCACCTTTCGGATATCATCTTACTCTACATTCAGGAACCCACCTCTACTTCATGGGCCCATGGGTAAAAACCCTAATTTTCAAATTTTTATTACTCAACAACTTTTCTCCCCTAAAGGAATGTCAAGGGTCACATCTCTGAAGGCGGTGAGATGTGACTGAATGATAGCCTCCATCTGCCCTAGAACTGCAGGTGCATCATTACGACGGTCAAGTGGCGAAGTAGAGGGTTTTTAAATCTTCTTCAGTCATTCCCAATCTCCTTTATTTTTCCTCTGCGCGCTCTGTGTTCATCCTCCTAAACTAATCCCTTCTTTCTTCATGCAATCAACTCTAAAATGATCCTATGTTGTTTTCAAACCCTTAACCTGAACAATAGAGATGACATCAACCATCCAGTTCGATTGATCAGCTCCTTACCTCACCTTGAGCCCATTTTTGGCCACCAATCTGGTGGCGCGCCCCTTCATTGCCACCGTAGAGAGTGGAGCTTCAACCCTGAACTTTCTCTAGCAATACCGTTGTCTTTCCATCCACGACAGGGCCTTCAACGCCACATGGCTCTGGGATGGGATCAAGACCATCCTCCTTGATTCCAAAGATGACTTTTGTACCTGGCTCGAAAGGGTTAGAAAAAGCTTTGGAAAATAATGGCAGCATCAAAGGCTGGACAATACCATTTGACTGTCCTGCCAAGCCTTCAATATCTAAGACACCGTAATCCTGGGAATGACAACATTTTGGGATTCGGAGGTCAGTTCCTTTCTACGACCATCTGGTCGCATTGGCCCACCACTACTGGATATGGTCATGATAGCTCACCTCCCGATAGTGGGAGAAGAACCTGTAGTCGGGACCCTAGAGGATTTGGAACCAGAGGCTGATCACCTTGGATGGAATGTGAAAGAGACCCCAAACAACAAACTAGTGGCCTGGGGGCCGTTTTTCAAGATGCACTGTGGTGCAAAAGGCACCCTGGTGACCAACGAAGAGCATGTTGCCTTCTTTTTGTTTTGGTTCTGCAGGTATGTACTTATCTCTCCTTCCCGATTTAATTGCATGTGTAAATTAGTAAATACCTTTTTACTTTGGGTTTTAGATACATCATCTGCCCGTCTTCCAAATTCATCACTTACACTCGTACCAACCTAGTCATCCACCTTGCTAAGGGCCGATTTATGTCCGTCGGTACCCTATTTTTAGCCATCCTTTTCGAGGGCCTGGCCAAAACCTATCCGAAACTCTCCAGTTCCGCCAAACTCGAAACCATTTTTTCTTGTCCAGCTTGATTTCAGGAACTTTGGCTCCACCTATATTTCCAACCACTCTTTGGCCAGCCTCCCCCTCTAGTCATCGATTCCAATCCCCTATTTGGCCAATACCTTCTATCATTATGCCTTGATCGAAAGAGACATAAGGATCCCGAAACTGTAATTAGGGTAATCATAGAATCCGACCTCTTAGACCTCGATTATTATCCATACTCCTATCTTTCTACCTTTGCGACTCCACCTTTCTACCTACCTCCTTCCATCCCATCTCCGTATCCACTTCCATCAACTCTACCACACCCGACCTTCATCCATTCTTGGGAGTCGGCCCTAAAGCCCTGATCCTTTTCGCTGGCAAGAAAATGGAAAAAAGTAAAAAAGCATATATTGTGTTCCCCTACTACCCGCATTACCTAGCCCGCCAGTTTGGGTGTCGTCGGGGTATTCCCGATTTGGTATTCAGCCTCATCTCATTCACACCCATGCTCAAATAGTGTCACCGACTACTCCATCAAGCCATATACTGATCCCCTCACCTCATATCTTACAAACCACATTTATGCGCCCTTCCAAGATAGACCCGATACCATCCGAGGTTTCCGGGGATTATGGTCGGACCTTGCCTGGCCCATAGTCGGTAGGTGTAACGTCCCGGTCGGTTCAAACCGGAACATTACCGCCACATCAAACTAAGGGGTCAGTTTTACCAAGCCAACCCGCCTAATTGCAATGCTAAGGCTTATATAATATAAATTTAAAATCCAACATTCATAAATAAATGTCTTTTTCTTTTTATAAGTGGATTAAAATGAAACACATGCTCGTGTTTCTACTTGCAATTAAAATGATTAGATCATTATAAATAAAACCATAATAAATTAATTAGATGCTTTCAACCCCAAATAAAGCCCATCATGATGTATAGTACGAGTCCTTCTCACCCAGATAACCTACAAGATATAGATTTAACATCAACAAATTACTAAGTAACTAGACTAAATTTACGCAAGTAAATGCAATTTAAATCATACAAATTTATAATTTTGATGATACATGTGTTATGAATACCTCATTGATTCTTCGTTATATTTATTCCATTTAAATAAATGAGGAACCATTGAAGAAAATTTCTATCATACAACAAAGAATATTTGATTCCAATATATATGTGAATTTCGTTTTGCATAAAATCTTTCTTATTCTTTCAATATAAATATTTCATTATTTAATATTGGTAGCAAGTAACCCATCAAAATAGACATTATCCAAAATATCCATAAATATCATCAATGGCACTAGATAAGACAAACCAATCAAGTAAGAATGTCTCTCAAGAAATAATATAAAAATTATGATGCAATCAGATTGACATCCAACCCCAACATCAAATACATAACCAACAATGTACAAATAATAGAAGTACGTATGTCAATAAATCATATGAATAGTCGATATGTATCGCCATTAACCACAGAACTATCCAGAGATCGTGGTAGCGAAGATAGACCTATCCAGAGATCTATCCCTTGTATACTAGTGGAATTTGTGCACCCCATGAATCACCTAAAGGGAACCCGAAAACTCTACTCCTCGCGCGCCCATTCGGGGTCACATTTGGAGTTAGCCAATGATTTTGAACTACCGGTAGACTCCGCTAGTGATTAATCTAATGAGTGGACCAAATCTTGCACGAATATGATTGGATAGGCTATAAATAACAAAATCCAATCCCCGGACCCTGCAACACAGGTCAATCGGTTGTCTGACGAACTACTATTATTGCAAAATGTAACGGTACATCAATATACGTACGTATGATGGTGCCCTTGCCTAGTACTACCGTACACCACAAATAACAGTAGAATCCAAAAAGTCCACACATAGCAATCATGCTATATGTATAAGTTGTGTCATCCGCGAAATAAGAGGAATAAAGAATAAAGTGGATCACATTGCTGTCGAGCCCCAAACAAGGAGGTACAATATGTTTCTTATTTGATATTAAATAAAAAAAGTTACAATTATTAATTATACTTTAAACACAATAATTAAGTTTTAATTAAGTGAATGTTATTCTCTTATAATAACTTACGAATTTCGGTAATCAGATCAAGCTAACGAGCTCAATCAATATGATACTACCAGTACATTGTTGCGATTGGCAACTACGAACCTTTGGAAGCAAAATATGTCTTATTCTTTTCCGAGTTAGATTAATGGTTTCATTATCATATAGTATCAACTATAAATTTTTCAATATATTCACTTTTATGCAATTTAAATAAAACCAGATCAAGTTGTGAGCTTACAAATAAAGTTTGTTAACGTATGAGATGAGCTACATGGTTATTCAAATGAGCTACTAACTTGCTCAAATGATGAATTTTTAAATAAATCTGTCGATTTTCAAAATTTTTTCTTATGAATACTCTGTTGTAATCATAAAAGTTTTATATCTAATATAATTTTGACCGAAAGATTTTAAAATAAAAATATTTAAAATCATGACACTACAAAAAAATTGGCTTTTTGTAGCGGATATGTAGTCCGTCAAAATAAATTCGTCACAAAAAGTGACTTTTGTTATGAAAGTTGTGGCCACAAAAAATTTTAATGATTGGTCAACTTTTTTTTTGTATTTATTTCGACAATTTATCCGTAACAGCTATATTTTGGACGGAATTTCATCATATATATATATTTGTTACGTAATTCAAGCCATGAAAAATAGGTCAATTTTAGAATTTTCTATATACTTAGAAAATCTATATAAAATTATTTTAAAATTTGAAAAAAAAAATTATTTATTTCGATAGTTATCCGTAACAATTACATTTTGGACAGAACATCGTCATATATATATTTGTAATGCAATTCAAGCCGTAACAACTAAGTCAATTTTAAATAATCTATATATTAAAAAATCGGTATATAATTATTTTTAAAAATAAATTTATTTAAAAATTGAATAAATTTATTTAAAGAATAAATAAAAATAAAAATATGAAAACATTTTCATAAATCATACCTAAAATATAAATTAAAAAAAAATAATTATTTTTTTAAAACATAAAAAATATATTAAAAAAATTAAATAAAAACACAATCATATAATATTTAAAATAAACAAAAAATCAGCACTAAACAGTACATATAATTTTTGAGAAAAAATTTAAAATCACTTAGGGATTTTGAAAAAAAATTACAAACTATAATACAAAAAAAATGTCATTTTCTAGCGAAATTGAATCAACTGCAATAGTTTCGTCACAAAAAGTGGCTTTTGTTACAATTTTAATTGGAACAAAACAAATTTGTATTGGTCAACATTTTTTATTATTTGTTTCGATAGTTTATCCGTAACAATTACAAATATGACGAGACACAGTCCTATATATATTTGTTACGTATTTGAAACCGTAACAAAAAATCAGTATTATAATTATAAATAAAAAATTTTAAAAATTATATAAAATTATTTTTAAAAAATAATAAAGTTTTAAAAATGTTTTAACACTTTCCTAACATATTATATGTTAACACTTTCCCAACATACATATATTTTACCGAATACAAAATCCACCTTCTATTTCCATTTTCTCAAAATCTAACTCCCGATCTGCAAGGAAGATCTGGCCGACATCCTCTGCTCTATCCGTCGCCGATTTGAAGCTCATCATTATTGACGGTGTGAATCTTCTTGGGCACGGTGCTGTTCTCACAAAATCGAGCGGTGAGTTAAAACCTAAGTATTCTATGGTGTAGCTATGAAAATCGATTTTTAGGTTTTGAGTGTTCTAGATTTTTGATAATCTTCTTGTTCACATATTTAATTGGTAAATAGCGAGTTCAGAAAAATGTCACCTGAAGCTTTCCTTAACCACTGCTTGTCGTTTTGTCCATCCACAGGCTGGGGTTTAGAACCCAGATTTGTGTTCAATTTGTGCTCGTGCCTTATTTGGGAAAAAAGACACTGAAGCAGAATAATTAATTTTTTAAGTTTATTTGGATTTGCGTTTAGCGATGGATTTGGGTTTAACTATGACCACTAATAATATTTGGATTTTCTTCATAATTTTTAATTTTTATGTTGTGGAAACACAGAGAAATTTCATTTGTACTACTTAGCTTTCTGGTCCAAATTCTTAATAATGGCGTCGAATATTGGTATGATGGATAGTGCGCATTTTGTGGGGAGAAATAAACTTCTTGCGTGGATTAATTCCAGGCTTCAGCTTAGGTAAAGAATGAACTGTAGAGACTTTAAAATCAAATTCATTTTCTTACAGTAGTTGGGGCTTTTTTCTGTGATTTTATTTTTAGTTTATTTGACTGAATTTTTTATTGTCTGATGTTTTTTTGATGTGGAAGGAATGTGGTGATCTTAGATTCCGATGTGGTTGTTGATTCATTTATGAATTTTGTTTTGATTTGCATTGGAATTGTTTGATTCCATGTTGTTCTATATGTATACTTTTTTTTTGTTTTTTATTCATTCTTTTGACCATTAGAAGTTAGTTACATATATGCTGCTTTTAATCTTATATTGAAATCAATTCTATTCATCAAAGATTTGGCTATCTTAGATAGAAGTTGTTAGAAATATGAAATTTTGGAAACTTTTTATATTTAATGTGATGTTTTGTGAAAAGAGATAGTCATTTCATAGAGATAAAGGTAATGTTTACGAGTAGCGTCGAAATTAAAATAAATGTGTATGTAAACATAGCAAAGTTAGGTTGCTGGCCATATTTTGACAGCCTTTGTATCTTGCAATAACCATAGAAGAACTATGATTGTGATTAAGTTTTCATTCATCTAGAGGCTTAAGCAAAAATCAGATGAGAAAACCGATTCCATATTGCTTAGGCGGTGTACTATTTACACATATGTTAATGGTAATCCCACATTATGCCATAACACATTTTCAGTCGCAGCAAAAAATATTTGCATTCTAACTATTCACAGAGTTGCTAGAATTGAGGAATACTAATTTATTTCTTTATTTATTTTGGTGGGGTGATTTAATTAAGTAAGATAAATTATTGATGTGAGACAACACACTGATTGTAAAGTTTGTATTCTTGTCTTGGGAATGGGAGAGAGACAACTCTTATTCCATTTCCATATTCTTACTACACTAGGAGTAAGGGACTGTACAAAATAATTGTACTAGTAAGAAAGTAGATGTTCAAAAATTCAATAGTTCTTCACCAATTAGAAATAAAATCACATCAAAATATATGATAGGTGGTACATAAATGTCAACTCGCAATAGGGACACCAACATGCTTGCCTTCTACTGCTGCTTTTACTGTTACAATGTAATCTCACAACTCACCTATATTCATACCATACAACTCTCAAATTTGGATTTAATTTTCATTTGCTTTTACATTTCAAGTGACGAATGTCTTTCGTTTCTTGTGCTTTTTCAATGGCAGCAAACTCTAAAAGAGCTACATTTTTTCATGATAAGACCATTGTTGATGAGGACATATACGAGCCTTTTCCTAAGGCAATGATATCCATTAACTTATTGTCGCATGTTATATCTATTGTTGTTCATTCAAGCCTCTTATATGTACTTTCCCAAATCAGCACACTATATCAAGGCCATAAATTATCGATTATAGACAACAAATAAATATTGTAAATATGTTTGAATTATTATAGCTGATATGCATTCAACTTGCATTTAAATATCTCAAAATTTGAAGTAATTTCGTACATTTAAGGATGAACAGAAAATTGGCATTTTTTTTTTGTGTGTTAAGGTGTTTTTCTTTCATATAATAACAACTGCATGCTCATCCTTTTTACTCTACAGGTTGCTCTCTGAAGGTAATTGCTTTATACAAGAGAAGAGAAGAGCTGTAAAATACTTTCTTTTTTATAGTGAGGTATGCAACTTTCATTTTCTTTGCTCTTGAATGCATTTCTCAATATATTGATCTCAACTGCTATAAACATATATTAGGTTATTTGTAAATGCATAATATTATTCTCTGGTTATATTTTATTTTAGTGGTAATATTATTTCTACTAGAAGTTGATTTTATTTTGGCATTACATGAAACTGAGCTACTGTGTTCTTCAGAAAGAACAGAAACCACAATTGATTAAACGTAAAGTATTATGAATTGAACGTGTAGGTTTGGTTAATATTGTTCTGTATTTGAATGCAATCTATGAAATAGTGGCGTATAGTCGAATTTTGCTATTTTGTCATTTGGTTTCACAGTTTATTGTTGTGTGGTTTATCTTCCTAATGTTTGGTGGTCAGACTTCTTGACTAGTGCTTTCGGTTGTAGACATTGCTATGTTCATATTTAAGATATTGTCCATAGATCAAGCTGAATGATAACTTTTATTTTATTATGAAGTTTCCATGCTACTATTTTCTTGATATATTTATATATTTTATTATATTCATTCATGTTGTTTAGAGATATCATATTTCTTAATATTAGCTTTGGTTTTACATTTTTATATAGGTGATACCCTAACCATTGTCAAGGCATTTGTTACTGTTGTTACGGTCCCGGAGACCGTACTTATTCTCCGAAGTAATGCCGGAGTGAAATGCTCGATGAGGTACAAGACGGAGAAAACATCAAGTGGACTTACAAGGTTGTACAATTTTTTTTTAATGTTTATTCTTTTGGAAATTAAATTACTTTAGTTGCTGATATAATTCTTATATATCATTGTAAACACATTGCAGTTGGTTGGCTGCCTCTGATTGCTTCATCTGTGATTTTGCACTCGATGAGCTTGGTCGTTCATAGTTGTATTTTTTAGTCGACCTTAGGATTGTACTGCATTTTGATACATATTTATTTATTCACGTATTACTTTTGGATTTAGGGATCAAGTGTTAGCAAGTTGTTAGTTGGTTGTTATGGTGTATGGCTTGGTGAGTTTTGAAGATGTTTTAAAGTACTATTAACGTCTAGTATTCTATTTTTGACATGAATATGAATGTTGTTGGATTGATGTCATTGTGCAGATATGAACAAGGATTTCAGATTAATTATGATAATATTATATTTTAAATTATTTGTGATCCAAATTGATCAATAACAAATTTAACAATTGGATTTTATTCGTGGCGACAAAATCTTTATTTGAGACATGGACATCTATTGTAGCGAATTTTTTGTTACGGACATTGGCCGGTACGAAAAGTGTTTTACGTTTGCATTACATTTGTACCAAATTTTTCGTTGCGGAAAAATTTCGTAACAACCGGTTATCTGACAGGACACTACCTTTGTAACATAATTTTTTGTTACGGATAAAGATTGCAACAAAAAGTTGTCTAACAAGATTCTATATTTGTACTGCATTTTTTGTTTCAAAAATATGTCCTAACAAATAGTTCTCTGACAGGATTTAACGTTTGTTCCGAATTTTTTGTTACGGACATATGTTGTTCCAAAAACATGATCGATGCTTTTGTTACGTACAAAAAAACACAAAAAATATAATAAACACGTGCTTATTTTGAGGGTTGACCGCCACTTATTTGTTACGGAATTTGTTGCAACATAGACTTTTTGTACCGCGATTTTTCGTAGCGGTCAAAATCCGAAACAGAGTTGACACAAAAGACTATTTTGCACAAAAATTGGGTTTTCGTTACGAATTTTTGACCGTTACAAAAAGCCAATTTTTTGGTAGTGTGAATAAGCAGACTGCTCTAGAATACTGCCGAAATAACTTGAATTCGGATTAAGGTAAAATTATCCGAATATAAACTTGGAGTTATACTAACATAATAACTTAAAAATTATAAGTTAAATATTCAATTATTAAATTTCAAAGAATTTTTTCAAATACCTAAGTTATTAAGTAAATAATCTAAATCATATGTAAACCTATAATTAATTTGATTACCTTTATGAATGAATTAATGAAATTGAAATTGAAATCCAACTGCCCGATTTTCTTTACTTTTTTCCTCTCTTTCCTTTCTTTTATCTTTTCTTCTCCGAGGGTTCCTTCCTCTGTCTGTTCCATTGTTTGGCTTGATTGATTTTCGAAAGTATAAACAAATATATATATTTGTATATAAAAAAGATAATTACCATTATTATTATTATTATTATGTTCTTATCGTTATAATTATTATTATACTTATATTTATATATATATATTATATTTTATATATTATAAGTTTATATTTATCCATATAAATATAACAATAATAATATTGATAAAATATTTATATCCTTATCCTGGTTTATTTAAAAGTACTTTAATCATACATAATATATAAAATAAAAATATAATTTTTAGCAAAATATTAATTTTTTTATTATCAATAAAATTATTTAAATTTTTATTTGATATAACAATTTTATTTTATATATTAAAAAAATACAGGGTATTAAAGTAGGCCCATTGTGGATTGTTTGTTCACTCTTTTTTGTCCTCCAGCCATTCAATCCGGGTCCCCAATCACACTACTTTCTCAACCTTTAACACGGCAGGTCACTCTGGGACCCCCACGAACGAAATGAGCAAAAGATACCCAGGCTGCAAGCTCATCTCGAAAGAAGACAAAGATTACCGCAGCGCAACCGGCCGACTTAGAGGAACGCCGAAGGGTCAGGGAAGAATACTTGGCCTCTCTGCCGGTAGATTTGACCATTTTCCCTAAGTTTCGAGCGCTTGCCTCACAATTACAAGTGGCAGATATCATTACCTTCTTTTCTTCCTTTCATTAAACACTTAATGCATTAACATATTCACATAATTTACTTTATTTTTCGCCAGGTCTTTTCAATCAGACCACCACTCCAATTGTCTATCTTTCCGACCAATCTGACCCAAGACACTAGCCAACAACTGCTCCTGGCGGAACAACTTTTCCTTCCATCGCACCAACTCAACTCCCCCTGCTTAACCAAATCCCTGTTCCTGAGGTAATTCTCAAAGTTCACTTTGCCTAGTAATCCAATATCATAGCATTCAAACTTGATATCAGGGGCCGAATATTAAGGCAAAATTAGCCAACCGGCTGATCTACCAGTGATCGACCATGATGCAGGGGCCATTGGAGAGAGGCAAGCCCCGTCCGCTGGCATTCATGATCAAAAGCCAGCTCCCTCTTCCAAAATTCAAGACTGGATTCCTCCTCGGGTCATCGAAGTTCCAGAGGGGGGTTCAGAAACAGTCAACCAGCCGATGAACGACCGGGGTACGGAGGTACCGGTCGAGAGGCAAGGATGCCTGAAGAGGCCCCAGCACAACCTCATTCCCCCTCGCATGGGATCCTAGATGAGGAATCTTTTGTTGTAAGACACCTTACGTCAAATAATCCTTTGTTCAACATTTCTCGATTCTCAACACTTCGCTACTTCAGAAATCCAACCCTTCCGCGCCGGTGGATGACCAAACGGGCCCATCCCGAGAGGGTCCTGACCAAATTGTGAATCCACCTCATGAGAACGCCGACCAGTCCCGTACTAGGGAAGACGTCGTGGCTGCGACTCCTAAGGACTTGGCGCGGACCTTGACTGCCCCAGCTGGAACCCAACTTCCTCCGTGCCGGATCACATTTTTGGCTCCGTCAGCCCAGACGGCTACCTTAGACCAGGTAACCAAACTCATCACTATTCATCGTGAAGCAATGTGTCAGCACAATCTCATCAATTGTTCACCTTGCTGAACCGAGGCTTCCTAGATCCTCTTTTCACTGTGTCCTCTTATGCCGAAGTTCAGCGGGTATCAACAATCGTAGGCAGAACTCTCACCAGCATGACTTAGGGCAAGTTGAACGAGCTGATGGATAACCTTATTCAACTACTAAGCAACAAACCTGCTGACTCTCCTACCAGCCAAGTCCTTGACCGATTCTCGAGAGATTATACGAAGTCATCATGGACTTGCCACTTCTTCAATCGGTTGCGATTCAGGATCCCCGATCATCCACCCCCATGACCAACTTGATACAACAAGCCATTACTAACATGGATTCAGCATTGGGCTGATCACAAAAATGAATAGAAGCCCTTCAATTATCAATGGAACAACTTTCAGCAAACATAGAGAGAAGTAAATGAGAAATCGAATGTCTGCATAGAGTACTCAAAAGGCAAGGGAAGGAGCTGGAGGAGATGAACAAGTGTTTGTCTTCCGAGCACCAAATCATGTTGAACAAATCAAGCCTTCGGGCAGAACTTATTCGTGAACAATAGATCGCCCACCATCTTTAGCGGAGGGCCGAGAGGACCTAGTCGTTAGCCCATAGACGAACGACTCATCTGAACCAAAAATGGTCAGACATTCTGGCCTCCATTGACTCTCTCTTGTAAAAGAATTTGTGAATCCTTTTCCATTCGATCACATAGTTTTCATTTCTCATTCTTTCTCACAAATACTTGGCTAATCTGTCATTACAATCCTTAAAGACAAGCTGAAACACCGCACACAAACTGAATAAATAGCCAATATCTTGCCCACCAAACCATTAACGTCCTGGAACACTCCCTAAGATAAGGCCTCTTTAACAAAATCAAACATGTCCTCACGACAGACTCGCATTCGTGTTCCAACTAGAAATTAGGAAGGCGTTCTTCAACACTTTTCATGCCGAAGATTTCCTACAATTTCTTAAGCAACTCGATTTCAAATTCAAATTTTCTCAAAGATGCTGTACTTTACACTAAACTACTCGTTTGATGCAAAGGGTGGTGGAAAGCTACGAGACTTCAAAAGACATGCTCAGTTGCTTCCCCGATCTGGAACACCCCATGAACCTGATAGAACACCACAGGATGACCATTCTGCCCGATCTCAGTTGGGTAAGTGAATTCTCTTAGCGAAGAGCATCCTTTACTCGCCTACGTGTGCTCGTTGATTGAGAATGCCAAACCCCAGAGGATATGATATTAATGACTTAAAGAACCCTCGAAGAAATGCAAGAACAATGGGAACGTCATTTGTACATTTTCACAGGGAATTTATATTCAGAAATCAATGAATGAAGAGCTATAGAAAGTGGTCAGATATAGTAAAAGATTGTGGTTGTAGACCCTGAGTAGTTATTACAATTATTTATACTCTTTTTACTGGTGAGTTTCCAGGTCGAACACAGGGATTTTAAGTCATGAATTTCAAGTCAAGTGTAGATCTTGAGAAAGCGGCGAAAAATGCATTAAAGGACCCGCTCTGCAGCGGATCCAGATTTCTACTCTATAGAAAGCGGCAATTGAAAGCAGTAAGAGTGAGCAAAGGTGAGCGGGGCGGAGGCGAGCGATGAAGTGCCAGCGATAATCGAGTGAACGGGACATGAGCGGATGGCACAATATGTATATATATATATATGTAAGCGGTGAGAGTGAGGGAGAGGTGTTGTGTCTGACTTGTGCGTTACTTAATGGCTAGGTTTTCCTAAATGTAATGAGCGAGCGATGTAAGTGTGTTAACGGGGGTATATGTATAATACGGAAGCCGGGGAAGAAGATAATGTAAATATATAAACTGAATTGTAAAGAATTCTTAACATTGGAATTTGACTTTAAGGGATTTACAACAAGACTTCAATGACACCCAGAACTGGAATATTATAAGAAAGAAACCCTACTGTCACTAGGAGTTTCTGTGACCTAATAGACCACACCGTCTATGACCCGTGAATTATCCCAACTTCTACCTTATTAGTGGCTTTACCCTGCTGTTACCTTTTTTTAATCAAAATTGAATTCAAAACAGTAGTTAAACAGGTCGACGAGGCTCCCGCGTACTTAACTACATTGAACTACCTTGAAAACGCTTTCGGAAAAAGACAAGGCTTAGATAATCAATTCTTCTCTTGCTCTAAACCAGTTAAATGAAATTCTTTAAATTTAAAGTTTATATAAGTGTGAAGAGAATTTGAAAGAAATATAGATAAAGAACTGAATGATATTTCATTATTTACTAATAAAGCTGGAAATGCTAGAACTACAAAGCTGTAATTGAAAGCAGTAAGCTACTCTAAGTAAGCGGTAAAATCTTGGCCAAGGGAGAAGAGAAATCCCTACTCCCTTGGCCATTCTTGTGGAAAACTTCCTTACAGGGTTGGAGCTCTCAAAGAACAGGAAGACAGCTAGAATACGCATGAATTAAATCGCTAATATACTTCAATCGAAGTATATTTACATATAGATATCTGGCCCTATTTATAGTAGGTGAAAAGGAAGGGTTGCAAGCAGTTACAAGGCAGTTCCAACCGCTAGGTAGTTAAGCGGTTGATGGCAGTTATTCTGTTGAAGCAGTTGCTAGCCATATATCCTATGGTGCTCGCTTCGCTTGCATAGGATGGTAAGGGCACAGATCTTCCTCGCTTGCCGAAGGGTTGGAGGGCATCAGTGCAGCTAGGCTTGCTTGTGCTGGCTGTAATGGAATAGTTGTACCGCTGCAGTGGGAACACTTAGTCAATATCTGCTATCATTCTGCAGCGGTGGGCGTCTAGGCCATCGCTTGCAAGCGGGAGAGACTGTCGCTTGCGAGCGGTGGAAGCTACCATTTGTCTCTCTTGCCTTAGTCTTTTCTAGGTGATGCAACAGCCGCTTGCGAGTGGAGGTGGCTATCGCTTGTGGCGTCTGCCTTAGCTTTTCTGGCATCAGAATACCACTTAAAAAGGGCATAAATCATTAATAATCGCAACAACGAACTTTGGATCATACCAAGCGATATAAATCAATAATGTATGCCATTAACAAGTTATTATGATGGTTTCTATACACAAATTCAAGTAATACACAGTTTTTTCTAGCTAAGAATATGCTTATATTTGGAGTCATCAAACTCACAACAGACTCGCATTCGTGTTCCAACCAGAAATTAGGAAGGCGTTCTTCAACACTTTTCATGCCGAAGATTTCGTACAATTTCTTAAGCAACTCGATTTCAAATTCAAATTTTCTCAAAGAAGATGCTGCACCTTACATTGAACTACTCGTTTGATGCAAAGGGTGATGGAAAGCTCGAGACTTCAAAAGACATGCTCAGTCGCTTCCCCGATCTGGAAC